TACATAAGCAACATATTTATTAACGTTTTAACTATAATTCGGGAGATACTTGTATGGGGGCTAAGTGAAATCATGAACCGATTCAACATTGTTTATATCATAAAAATTTGTCTAGGCAAAAAAGACGTAAGTGACAAAAAAATCGGATATAGCGTCAATATAAAATCGAAACAAACTGCATACCATATTTTAGATGTAATAATATTTATTAACGGAGTTTTGGAGTAATACTATGTCCTACTTCGAAGATAATTAAAAAATTGCTCTCCTGTAAAATTTAGTTTTTGTCGGTTACGTCTTTTGTGCGAAAAGGGCTCGATATGATAAATACATTCTTATTATTATTGAATTCGGTAAAAAACGTATATTTTTTGGGTATTGGTTATAATTGCTTATTTCCAGACAAACCTCTACACTTTTCTACTCATTTGAAACTCATTTGAAAACAGTAAAACGACATGTCAAAATTTTCAAATAAAATTAAAAATATTATAGTGTAGATACAAAATGTAATAAAACTTACTGAAAATACGGATGGAAAATTTAAAATCGTATGATTTTTTTAAATTTTTTGAAAAATTTCAAAACGATTGGATTTTTTCCTTTTTTTTTGAGTTTTAATTTTATTTAAACAAAGAAAAACATAAAAACAGAAACAACTTTCAAATAAAAACAGAAGCAAAATGAAAATTTATGTTTTTTCTTTGAATTTTTTCAAATTGAAGTTTCATTTTATTTCGAATCTGTACCGCAATTCTGTAATTTTTTAATTTTAACTACCGATATCGTAAAGTAACGACAAATATCGGTTGCATTAACGAATTTCCAATTCTGTAACTTTTTAACGACCTTGGAATATTTTAACGACAAAGATCGGAAAAATATAAGAATGTCAAAAATTTTGTATTGAAATATTTTCCAAATATAAAATTATTAACGTGAACTTTTTATTTGTCGTTACATTGCCGATACTTTTCGTTAACTAATGATTATGTTTAACGAAAAAAATCGGTGAAATAAAATTCAGAATACCACATAACGACAATTATTGTTAACTTACGAATTTTTACTATTTAACGACAAAATATTGTAGTTAAAAAGTTACTGAATTGCGGTACTGATAGTGTAAAAACCAAATATATTTTCTATTTGTTTTTTTTGATAATCATATCAATTCTCATTTTATTTTGTTTTGGCAGTTTGAAATAAAAATCTAACGACTTCTCTCATACTGTGTAGGCAGCTTTAATAAAGCATTTTTATCAGCTATATTCTGGAAGAGAATAGTAGCTTTCAGGCTTAATACTCTATTTATCATTGAGATATCTTAACTTTTTTTAATATTTCCATAAAATCGACACAACTTCGTTTTGTATTAGTGTCAATGGTACTGCCAATTTTCGTAATGATAGGTCATCATTTGACCCTGGCCCCTATATACAATAATTCTCTTATAAACTCTAGTACTACGATAAAATTCTCCATAAATAACTTTACTGTAAAGGTCAATTGATCTACCGACAGTTATAAGGATATTTACCCTTGCCCAGTATAACCCCTCTTTTAAAAAATCGCAATTTTTTCTAAAATAACCACTTATAACGTTGGGTTTATAAGATTCTTATTTGTTTATTAACAACTACATCACATATAAATACATAGTTTAGAAATACATATAATAAATCTACAGGAAACCACTTGAAATAAATTTTCCAAAAAACTAAAAACTCAAATCTATTCCTCTTATTTATAATACTGTCCTAAATAAAACAAACAGCAATTTCCCCAACTAAAATATTTACTTAATTTTGCCAGACAACTATTAATTTTAACTTTTCATGAAGTACTATGTTATAGCTTAATTTAATTTACTGACTTTTTTGACTTAAAAAAAATTATAGACAAAAGAATTCATTTTTATTTACATTTACAGCTATTAGTTTGTGCTAATGTTAAAGTAAATGTATTATTGATTTAGTTTGCTTTCTATATTAAATTGTAATCAATTACTTATTATCTAATGGAAAATAAAATCATTGTGTTTAAATAAAATCAAATCCATCAAATCTTAATGTAAGTTGATTGATAATAATAACACCAACAACAACGACTACAATAACAACAAAAATAATAATAATGTTGATGACAATAACAACATTATTTACAATGAAACAGACAGGACAGCCCTCATATGTTCAACACAAAAAGCACGTGTAAATCAAGGAATATTATTCGTTAATAATGTAATAATATAATGCGCAGAATCTATACTTTTCGAAGAGTAGATATTGGTTGTTATTAGAAGTATAAGAGTAGTTATCGTAACGATAAATAAAGGGAAATATAAGGAAAGTAATATTTAAGAAACTAAGTATTAAGTAAAATATGATATAAACAAGGTTTAGCAACAGCAGACTTAGGGTGAGTAAGTTTAATTTGGTGGATATATTAATCAGTACTATTGCACTTTTAGTTATTTTGTTGGTTAGATAGTTAGTTAGGATGATACATATCATCAAATCCGAAGAAATACACCTAGGCAAATTTCGGGCCTCTTGTGCGCTTCTTTTCATGGAAAGTGTTTGTAGGTAACAACAAAAAACAATTTACAGTATGCACTGAATGTATTATCGTCCGATGCTCAGAAATGCAATTTCCTGGAAGTAATTACTAAGAATTTTCCAATCAATGTCCGTGAGGGATCATATATACGGAATAATATCAGTCCCAATGGAGTGATATTGGCAAAGAGAGTGCTCCAGAGCTTCCCTGTCTTCTCCACATGCTCTACATTCGCCGGAATCCGCACCTCGAATTTTGTATAGCTCTGCCCGTAATCTTGAATGTCCACTCAGAATACGAACCATCATACTAACCTCAGACTAGTTCATTTTGCTTTTGTTGGGGTTAGTTAGTTAGTTAGTTAGTTAGTTAGTTAGTTAGTTAGTTAGTTAGTTAGTTAGTTAGTTAGTTAGTTAGTTAGTTAGTTAGTTAGTTAGTTAGTTAGTTAGTTAGTTAGTTAGTTAGTTAGTAGTTAGTTAGTTAGTTAGTTAGTTAGTTAGTTAGTTAGTTAGTTAGTTAGTTAGTAGTTAGTTAGTAGTTAGTTAGTAGTTAGTTAGTTAGTTAGTTAGTTAGTTAGTTAGTTAGTTAGTTAGTTAGTTAGTTAGTTAGTTAGTTAGTTAGTTAGTTAGTTAGTTAGTTAGTTAGTTAGTTAGTTAGTTAGTTAGTTAGTTAGTTAGTTAGTTAGTTAGTTAGTTAGTTAGTTAGTTAGTTAGTTAGTTAGTTAGTTAGTTAGTTAGTTAGTTAGTTAGTTAGTTAGTTAGTTAGTTAGTTAGTTAGTTAGTTAGTTAGTTAGTTAGTAGTTAGTTAGTTAGTTAGTTAGTTAGTTAGTTAGTTAGTTAGTTAGTTAGTTAGTTAGTTAGTTAGTTAGTTAGTTAGTTAGTTAGTTAGTTAGTTAGTTAGTTAGTTAGTTAGTTAGTTAGTTAGTTAGTTAGTTAGTTAGTTAGTTAGTTAGTTAGTTAGTTAGTTAGTTAGTTAGTTAGTTAGTTAGTTAGTTAGTTAGTTAGTTAGTTAGTTAGTTAGTTAGTTAGTTAGTTAGTTAGTTAGTTAGTTAGTTAGTTAGTTAGTTAGTTAGTTAGTTAGTTAGTTAGTTAGTTAGTTAGTTAGTTAGTTAGTTAGTTAGTTAGTTAGTTAGTTAGTTAGTTAGTTAGTTAGTTAGTTAGTTAGTTAGTTAGTTAGTTAGTTAGTTAGTTAGTTAGTTAGTTAGTTAGTTAGTTAGTTAGTTAGTTAGTAGTTAGTTAGTTAGTAGTTAGTTAGTTAGTTAGTTAGTTAGTTAGTTAGTTAGTTAGTTAGTTAGTTAGTTAGTTAGTTAGTTAGTAGTTAGTTAGTTAGTTAGTTAGTTAGTTAGTTAGTTAGTTAGTTAGTTAGTTAGTTAGTTAGTTAGTTAGTTAGTAGTTAGTTAGTTAGTTAGTTAGTTAGTTAGTTAGTTAGTTAGTAGTTAGTTAGTTAGTTAGTTAGTTAGTTAGTTAGTTAGTTAGTTAGTTAGTTAGTTAGTTAGTTAGTTAGTAGTTAGTTAGTTAGTTAGTTAGTTAGTTAGTAGTAGTAGTTAGTTAGTTAGTTAGTTAGTTAGTTAGTTAGTTCGTTAGTTAGTTAGTTAGTTAGTTAGTTAGTTAGTTAGTTAGTTAGTTAGTTAGTTTTAGTTAGTTAGTTAGTTAGTAGTTAGTTAGTTAGTTAGTTAGTTAGTAGTTAGTTAGTTAGTTAGTTAGTAGTTAGTTAGTTAGTCTAGTTAGTAGTTAGTTAGTTAGTTAGTTAGTTAGTTAGTTCGTTAGTTAGTTAGTTTTAGTTAGTTAGTAGTAGTTAGTTAGTTAGTTAGTTAGTTAGTTAGTTAGTTAGTTAGTTAGTTAGTAGTTAGTTAGTAGTTAGTTAGTTAGTAGTAGTTAGTAGTTAGTTAGTTAGTTAGTAGTTAGTAGTTAGTTAGTTAGTAGTAGTTAGTTAGTTAGTTAGTTAGTTAGTTCATTACTTCACTCATTTTTTGAAACCTTCGCTCCGTCTCCATATGACATTTTCAAATCTCTGCGGAAACTTACTAAATATTAAACCGAACATATTTTGCAGCTGTTCTATAAATGAACTTCAAGGAGTTTTTGTCACTATTTCAATCACTATCAAATTATATCCGTACAGAAAAATTTCCCATTTCCAAAGAGAATTTGTCCCGGCACACAATGCAAATCCAACTGACGTTTTACACTCTCATCCTCTCTTTCTGTTGTTATTTAAACTCCAAATGCTCTTTTTATAAACTGATGGTACTACTAACAAAAAACGATGTCACAAACGAAACCGCACACGAACAAAACTTCTGACAAAGGAAGACAAATAGAAAATAGAACAACAAAAACAGTTTGAAGTCAGTAAATATGCCGAAGCAGCGTATCCTTAAGCGACGAAGGCAAAATGACAATTCAGTTAAATGTTGGATTTACAGATAAACGGACGAAACGGAAATTGTATACAAAACCAAAACATCCTTTAACGCGAGTGTTGAAAACAGTAATAAATTTTATTAAATGAAATAATGATAATAAAAAAGAAAACACAAAGTTGTTAATATAATTAAAAAGAAAAAAAATAAAATTTCACAAATAGTGTAAATAAATTAAAATAATAAATAAAATCAAATTTATTTATTATGTGTTATTTAAATGAATTTCTTTGTCAAACAAATTGCAACTTTTATTGTATTCCCAATGCATTTGCATTTGCAGAAAAAATATAATGAAGAGAACAAAATAACAGAAATTAATGTCATCTTTAAGTATGTTTTATTTTGTTGGTTAAAATATTGTTGAAAAGAGTTTATTTGTTTTTATAAAAATATAACGCTACAAAAAGTGTTTTTATAAAAATAGCATAAACTATGGCGGTATTTCAAAGTTATTTAACTTTTAAAATCCTTAGAGATTTTTATTGTTGCAAAAATACTTTTACTTCTACTGCTAACCTTACTATGATTACCACTAGTAAATACTACTGTTATATTTAACAACCATTGCTAATACTTACTGCTGCTACTACTACTGCTGCTGCTGTTGCATACAACAAAACCACTTTTAATGCACATTGTGTCAATTTGTGTTAGTGTTTACATGCAGCTCGTTGTATATGGATTCCGGGTACACATACACGTATTTATACATATGTAAATTACTTATATCCTTTAAATAGCATTCAGTAAGTTTAAGTATGTTAGTATTTGGCAGTGTATTATTTTCCTTGCAACATTTTCTAAAGTCGATAGAATTTTTTGGTAAAATTTTTCATTTGATATTTTTGTATGTTGTGGTTATTAGGTTGTCCCATATAACATTTTTATATATTTTTTTCTTTTCATTAGATTTCATTTTCGAACTTCGAATCCAGTGCATAGAGAAAATATTGCCGTTTTTGTCAATCAAAATCAAAATCATTTTGGTTTTCTTTCGATTGCTTTTTAATGCCGATATAAATAGATTATATCATAAGTTTTCTTTCTGTTCATAGCTAAAAATCCATTGTAAGTTTTTCTCGGCGTTTAACTTTGTCTTGTATTGCGATGTCCGTCTATCCGAATTTTTCCAATAGAGTCGCAGGTTGTAATTATCAATAAAATTAAAAAAAAAAAAATACCAGATATGTGTGTATAATCTACATAGTCGCGTGACTATTTTCACTAAATTTCTCAGGAATCAGACTTCACCTAGCTCTATTTCAATTAACTTTTTTATTTCTCCTTTAATTTCTATTTAAACAATTTGTTATTTTTATTTTGTTATCTCTTTGTTTAAAACCTATGTTTACAAATTTGAAAAAAAACTTATTTGATTCAATTAATTTTTTAAAAAATTAATTGAAAATATTTTTCTAGCCTACTTTTCTATATTGTTTTTTTGTTCTGATATTTAATTTTAATATTCTTCTTTGGTTTCTTATACTGTTCAACGCATTCTTAAAAGCAAAGTATTAATTTAATTTTGTGAGAATTCAATTAATAAATTGATTGTTTTAAAGACTCTTTAATTCATTTGATTAATAAATTGATTAATTTTAAATTTTATTTTTATTAAATATGTAATTTGTTCAATTATTGAATTTATTTTAAATTTTGGATGAATTTTGCTAATAATTGTTTTGATTATTTCTTTAATTGAAAAAAAAATCTTTTTTTTTATTTCTTTCATATTTGATAATCTTTTTGATGATAGTTGTAAAACTTTTTTGATACACTTATTTTGATAATTGAAACGCATTTTCAGTTTTTAGATAGTAGTGATTTTACTTTTTTCGAAAAAGAGCTACAAAATATTTAAAGCTGAGGTCTGATTTTGATAAAATTTTGTCTAAATATTTCTCTTTTATTCAAATTTTATTCATATTATTGTTCTATAGCCTAGAAAGTTATTCTCAGATAAAACATATACCAAAACATTAGCATATATTGAAGCAAATATTATGACATAATTTTCATCGTTAAATATATAAAATGTAATTGTCAACAGAAATATAGTAAGATGCATAATAAGAGAGATATTCACAAAAATGGCAACATTAATTTTCCAGTTTGCTAAATATACCCACCCTTTAAAAAAATATTGAAATATTGATCATAGACCCACAAAAGTATATATATTCTGAGCCCTTATTAAATTCTAAGACGATCTTGCCATGTCTATCCGTCTGTCCGTCCGTCTGTCTGTCTGTTAAAAGCACGATAGAGTCCGAACAGAAAAGCTAGAGAGTTCAAATGTTCCACAAATATTTCTTATAGGTATCGGTCCACGTTTTCGCATAGCCTCCCTACAAGTTGCCCCCTGAACAACAGCTTTTACAATCAAAACTGTTTTAAAAATGCGAGTATAGCGATGAAATTCGACATAAATAAGTCTTATATGATCCCAATTCTCTATACCAAATTGTATGAGGATCGGCCCCCAATTGACCCTAACTCTCATATGTGGTCCCCTCCAACGCCCATTACTGTCTTAAAAATACGAGTGTAGCGCTGAAATTCGATATAAGTAAGTTTTTTTTTGAGTATCGGTCCATAATTTATCCTACTCTCCATATAAGAAAATGACTTTAACGCTTACTACTAGCGAGTATAGCTCTGAAATTCGACGAAGTTTCTTACGAGCACAAATCTCTCTTATGAGAATCGGTCCATAATTGACCCTTAAAAATGCGAGTATAGCTATGAAATTCGATATCCAGGCAATAAGTTTCTTACAAGCCAAAATCTCTATCGAATTTTATAATTGAACCACCCTACCGCACATATATGTTCATGGTTTTAAAGTTGGACACAAATATTTTGTTTTTAAAAATTAATATGTTGTTAATCCGAAAGGGATGTGTCCATAATTAACTTAAGCCCTATTGTAAATATCAACCAAATGTTTAAAGGGGAGCATTCTATTTTTCATTGAAATGTACGCCGCGAAAGTGCTGGTATGAGAGTAATTGCTGTACTTAATTTTTATGTCTTTAGCACACAGATCATCTGAAATACCAGAAATCTAATCCACCGAAATTGGCTTAAAGAGAACTTTGAAAGTTAAATTGCATAAGTTGTAATTTGGCACAAATTATCTGAAGAGAAAAAGAAGAATGCGGTATTATTTTGAATTTTTATTAGTTGAGCCAATTTTGGTAAACATATAACAATTAAGAGAATCCTCGAAATCGAATGGTCAGGTTGTATGACGAACTAATAATCCAATTTCATAAAATTACCTTTAAAATTGCGTCCTGTACATTGCAAAGAACGTTTACATGACACACGGACAGACATAGTTATATTGAATCACGAATTTATTATGAGGATATAAGACCAATGTTTTGTGCTTTATAGATATCCCCACTATGTTGGTGTAGGAAATACATTTTTCTATAATCTGTAAATAATTTACAAAAACATACATTTTTTTCCAACAAAAAGATGTTCCAAAATATTTCAGTAATAATTGTACTTATATGCCAAGCGAGAAATTTTTAAACAATTCGCAGTGAATTTTATATTTATGTCTTTTTAAATAATTGTACAATAAACCAGTTTTAAATGTCGTAGAAAAAAATTTTTGAAATTGATTCAGATTGATATAATATTTATCACTCCAACAAAGATTTTAAGAATCGATCACCAAAGGTCTCAAGCCAATATAAAGACTCCAACTTCATATTTTTCTATTCCTTCATTAATAATTTTCCCACCAGCCTTAATTTTTGTAGATTAAATATGTCATGAGGTTTAGTGGAGTAGAGCCACATCAGATTATATCATTATAACATTACTTTAAAATTCACTTTCATGGGACAACCTAATAAATATGCACAATTTAACAAAAAAAAATATTTGCAACTCGGTTAAACTATATTGTGTATACAGTAGGTTGTATGTAGTATGAGTATGCATGTGCAAGTATGAGAATGAAAACAATACTTAATAGTGCTGATGATGATGTTCGTTTCGTTTGTTACTCCGTATAGAACATGAATGTCACAATGTTAAAATGAGCGTAGTATGTACAGCATAAACAATCAAGTCCTGTTGCCTTAGAAAGCCTAAAGGCTGCTTTTATAAAAAACCAAACAAAAAAAAACAAGAAATTGTAGAAACAAACACCAGCAAAAATGAAGTCAACCTTAAATTCAAAACCAACTATACAAAACGCAACTGAACCCACCCAACATCATTAGGACTACAACTGAATCGAAACAAAGGAAGGAGTTAAAATAATAGACACACAGAGAGAATTGAAGAAAAGGAAAAAAATCGACGAAAAACACGGAAAATTTTTATAAAACTGCACTAAAATAACAGCGGCAACAATAGTGAAATTTTCCTTTTGAGCACAACGTAAATTTTTTATTCAACTCACACCAAACCACGCTGCTCCAACAAACACACACACAACCGACAACTAACTGTCTTTTATAAATTGTGCTGCATCCTTTCAATTCCATTCCAGTTTATTTACTCTTCCTATTTTTTCTGCGTATTGCTAAAGTTTGTACTATTATTTTTACTTTCTACCTACTATAACATCAGTAAAATTGTATGTGTTCGGTGCAACAGCAAATAATAAAAAAAAAAACTTTAACCAACATCATCATCGTCAACATCATTGACTCACAGTAGAGCAACAAAATACAGAAACAACAGCAGCAGCATAATGTCCTCGTGCCCTTCAGGATTAATCGCTTATTCAGCAATCGTTTTACTTTGTACTTCCGGTAAGTGAAAATGTCTCTTTTTGTATATTTGTATTTTTCGTATTTTGTACATGTATTTGTATTTATCGTATACATATACAATTGTAGTCCTGCTTATTCAGATTTGGTATTGTAATTGTATAAGTAGACGTCAGGATGTGTATATGTGTTTGTGTGTGAGACTGAATATAAATGTTGTATTTTAAAGATTGCATTTCATTGAACTGAATTGCATTTCAATGTTATTCAATAAACTTGAAATGTATACTGTATTAATGCAACATGCAACATACTGCCACATTTATATTCATTCACACAAACACACATACAGTTTCCTGATGAAAAACAAAAGAAACAAGAAAAGAAACAACAATAAAAGAAAAATTAAAGAAATATATTTCATTTAATTAAATTTTCTTTCTCAACATAAGTACTTCTACAGAAAAATTCAGCTACTTTTCGTTACTCCATAATAATAGTTCTTTTTCATTTGGTTACTCAATATTATTCGATTCTTTTGGAGTATTTTCAATTAAATTTTCTATTAGAAAATCATATTGTCTTTTATCACTGCTGCTTTTCTTTAACAATATTAAGCTGTCGACGTTCTTAGAGAAAATCCAGATCTTTTTAGAAATAGTGCACAAAACTACAATAAATATGCAAATATTCGTTACTCAATACATTTTCAACACTAATGAATACCGTCTGCATTGAAAGTAATTTTCTTGTGCAATTTATTAACTTTAAATATTTAACTTCAATTAAATTTTAAGAATTTTTATTTGTTATTTAAATTTGTTTTGCCTTATGGGGGCGACGAGTGAGAGTTTAATTTAATTAAAAAACCAAATTTATTTTCAAAAAGAAAATATAAATAAATAAATTGGAATGCATTGAAGCTCTTAATTAAGTAAATAATTAATTAATTTATTATTAGAATATACAATTTATAGACACAAAATATTTTTTATAAAATGCATATTTATACCCTACACTATTACAATGGGGAGGGTTTGATGGGTTTGTGCTGACGTTTGTCCAATGGCCAACCAAACCAATTGACTTTAAAAATTGAAAATGACTTTTCAAGTCGATTTTGCTATGGCCACTCCCGACTACTATTAGTATAGCGTAAAACTTTTATTACCGTCTGGAAGATTTTTGAACTGAATACTACAAAATATATAATTTTGTGAATTTTAATAAATGTTTAGTATTTTCGGTGTATGAGTAAGTTTTTTGTTACAATCGAGTTCTAGAGTAGATATATTATTGTTTCGATTTTTTTATTTATTAGTGACATTAATAATATTTTAACAAAATATCCTTCATTCATCAGAAAATTTCGGTATTGAAAATGAAACTTCATCACTAAATGATAGTATAAATTATGGAATTAAAAATTGTAAATTTAATAAAATTTTACATTTTACTTTTATTTCATTTGGCTGATTTTCAATACAAATTTCTTGGATTTTCAGATGAACAAACTCGGACAGACGGACATATGTAGCTAAGTCAAATTGCATAAGAATCCAGAATATTTGTACATATATGGGCAATATCAGAAAATTGTCGAAAGGAGTTCAGAGAGCTATTTTTTCATTGTTTCCAAAAAAATTTTTTGAAATTTTTAAAAATTTTATTTAAAAAATAAATTTTTAAATTTTTTTCAAAAAACTCCATTTGTTTTGCTCAAAAAAAAAACCTTAGACAATTTCTTTTAAGAGGGATGCGAGTGGGATAACTATCAAAAAAATCATTTTTTTAACTTTTGCTCAAAAGAAAGCTTAAACCATTACCTTTAAGAGCTTTGTGATTAGAGCAAAGTTAAAAGTGAGTTAAAATATTATTTTTGTTTTCCTCATATGGCCCTTGCATCCCACTAAGTAACCACAAAGCTCTTACAGAAAATGGTCTAAGCTTTCATTTGAGTAAAAAAATAAGACAAAAACGTCTGTTTAAAAAAAGGAGAAAATTAAGTGGCAAATATTGAAAATAATCTTATTCTTTAGTTAAACAATATATATTTGAATAGATATCCCACTCGTATCCTATTATCCCATAAAGCTCTTCAAGGAAATTATATAAACTTTCTTTTGAGCAAAAAAAGAAAATTATTGAAAAAAAAATTTAAAAAACAATTTTAATAAAAATGTTGGAAGCAATCAAGAAATAGCTCTATGAACTCCTTTGGACATTTTTTGCTAGTACTAATAGGTGAAAAGTTACACTCATTTTAATAAAACCCTGTATGACCAAAATGTCCAACTTTGTCCTCTAAGTCGGGCAGTTCTGGACCGATAGCGGTGTCTTGTTTACCATTCAATAGTACTATCCTTGGTGCGAATTTTATCAAAATCGGAAGACATCGATTTTTAAAGACTTGTGGTCTGACCAGATTACCGTTTAAATCTGGTGCTACTGATGCTGACTGTCTCGTTAATCAACCCAATAATGTTTAGGAGATGACAATAGGATTATCATGATAATGATGATCACGGTCTTTATTTTATCCACTAATTTCAGTTTCTTTGTCGAATTATGTTCGGGGTTTACCGATTTCATACCGTATTTATCAATATAAAAATAAATCGTTGAGAGGTAACTCCAAAAAACATCGATAAAAAAAGAACTGATTAAATTTAAATATTTGTATTTGCTTATGTCATTATTTTAACACGTTGGTAACACCGTCCAACAAAAAGAGAAAAAAATCATTAGACATGAACCGGATGATATACGTCTGAAACTATAAATTTAATGGAGAATAATTGTGTTTTTAGTTTTTTATTTCGTGATCCTGTATCCTTTTTAAAGTACTTCAAGGTTTTAAAAAAAAACATTTTTCAAAAAATATTTTAAAATACTTCTACTGATCAAACAATGCCAAATTTAATGTCAAGAGAACATGAAGAGTTGGAAAATATTTTTCATAATTTCTTTTATACTGTCAGGACAAAAATTTGTCAAAAATGTCTTTTAAAATGTTTATCCTTTATTATCTATTAAGGTTTTCAATATTTTTTTTTTTAATTTTGAAAGACATTTTTAACATCTTTTGATCCAGGCGGAATAAAATAAAAATAACACATAGTATTTTTCAACTCTTCTTGTTCTCTTGACATCAAATTTAGTATTTTTTGATCAGTAAAAGTATTTTTAAATATTTTTTGAAAAATACACTTTTTAAAACTTTGAAGTCCTTTAAAAAGGATACAGGATCACGAAATGAAAAATTAAAAAAGTAGTTTTTCTGCATTAATTTTCTAGTTTCAGACGTATATCATCCGGTTCGTGTCTAATTTTGAGTGTCGGATGGTGTAATATTAACACGTTGATATTTATTGCGGGTTAAATAGCGATTTTCACATAAAAATAATATTATTTCTTTTTGTGTAAAACACAGTGTTAACTCGCAATCAAATAAAATGCGCAAACCAAATGGCAAAAGAAAGTTATAACTTGACACCTTATAAGTAATTTATACATTATGTAGTTGCCATTGATAAGTAATTTGTTGAGTGAGTACAAGTCAGGTTATTGCTGGGTATATATTCGTATTTTTCACAAAAAGTTATGTTTTGAAGGTTTTACAAAATTAAATTTTCTCCTTACGTTTCAGACTATTGTCCAGTAAAAACTTTTAGCATTTTAACATGGTAATGAACATGTTAAAATGCTAAAATTTACTTACATAATAGCATTTTAAGTCATTATTTTAACATGGTGATGTCATTGGAGGCAAGTACTTACCACAAACGATTACAAGTAATTCGAAAAAGTAAATCTCATGAAAATACGTATACAGCCTCTATATCTACAATGGCAAGATGACTAATGAATTAGAAAGTATTTATATAACACATTATTAGTAAGGCCTTATTAGGCTACTTCTATGTAATCCAGACGATATAAGTAATTACAATTGAAAGCCATTACCTAGTTTTTGCTGCGTGCATACTTGATTTTTTGGAAGCAACAGTTTTTCATTGGGCTAGTATTTAAATATTTATTTTTAGCAGAAAAATGCTAGGAAATTTATTGAAATCGATTGCATTTTCATCTACCAAAAAATATTTCTTTTACTTTCGCTTTGGATCTATAACATTAGACCTGCTCGCAGATGTATGTATATGTATATATATTTTAATTGTTCACAGGTAAATAACAATTGAAAAGGCCAAACTGGCAACTTTGTTCATACCCAAAGTTACATATTACTTTATACTTATATAGTTAGTTGTCAGTTATTTATTTATATAGTGAAGAGTTTGTTGTTCAAAATAAGAAACAAATATTGGACCTATACAAGTTAAAGGTTTTTGTTGGGCAGGTCTTATAAACATTTTTGTATTAGATTTCACTTGTATTATTGCAATTCTATATAATAAAACTAAAAACTGTGTATTGTACATGAATTTGTAGTATATTTGAGTATTTCAAGTGCAATACTTTTAGTATCAATTCAATTCTAAATGAAATTTAAGAACTTTTCAATTTCCATATGTATACAGTTTACATTTTTTTGTGCCCTAAAGTAAGTTTGTCAATTCATTTGTAATTTATTTAAAATTGCAATCCTTTTAGCCATACCCTTCTCTTACTGTCTGTCTATAAGAAAAACGTTTGTGTATTGAAATTCGACAAAATCGGCTCTTTGATTTTAAACCAAAATTTTCATATACAAATCGATTTGTTTAATAAAACATTAATTTACTTTTCATATGTAGTTTAAAGAACTATTTGCATTAAACAGTACTTGGTATACTATAGCCTCTGTTTTATTAATTTGTATTTGCTGAAAGGGTATATAAAATTCGTTACAACCATCTTTAGAAATCTAAATTGTATTACATAAAAACATTACGTTATTTTTACATCTATTTCTATTTTAATAAACATTACATTCATACAAGAGTAGCAAATAAATGAAATTGAATAAATATTTACGTAAAAATCGAAGTAATGAAATTCTTGTTTTACAAATAAATTTATTTTTATAAAATATAAAATTT